AAGAAAACTGACAAGCACTTTCTATCCCGTCGAAAATTCGCAGTCGCATAATGCTTTCCAGTATAAAGCCAAATTATAGTCCTTCTGTGATATAAAGTCTGACTAACTTCGAGAGAGACGCAACATGGACATCAATTAGAATGAAAAAGAAATGCGCGTGATGAAAATCTTCAATTTTTTTGAACAAAATGCCAATCGTCAGAACGACTGCTAGTGTGACCGTCTTACTGTATGGCCGCAGTTTTATCCTAACGCATTCATAATTTGCAGCTTGTGATTTGGCCGAAGGAAACTCAAACCGCATTTTACCATGCACAATCGGCAAACTTTCTAACTTTGCCACTACTACCGCTTTCGGATATTGTTAATTCAGCGCCTCATTTACCGCACCTCTGTCCTGAAACACTGACCATTGATGAGTGTGTAGGCTTGTAGAGAAACAATGGATGGGCATTATTAAGACCTCAACTCTGTCGCTCTGGACTGCCAAGTATTCACAGCCCCTGCGAGGAAAATCAGAAATAAGTGTTCTAAATGCACGCAAGCGTTGCTGAAATCATGTGTGACTGAGTGCAGGTTCACCTGCTCCATTTGTGTTAAACATACTGACAAAAATGCTACGACGTTAATTCCCCTCTGTCTGCTCCGTGTCAAGCATAAAGCATGTTTTGAGTGATTAGTGTACTCTGAATGCGCGGAGGCTAGATTCATTAACTCATGCAATCATTCGTTCACTCTTTCAACCACTCATTCACGCATTCATTCATCCGTTGATCCATTCACCTCTCCATTCACCCATTCACCCCACTGCTACTGCTACTGCCACTTCTAATTTCTGATACAAATAATTAAGAGCGTACATCAACAAATGCATCACTAGCCATTCATGCGAAACAGATTAAATTTATCGTCTGTTCTTTCACTCAATGTAGTGTCCATCAGATTAAGCAGAATGACCATTCATTAGAAGTCACCTCCTCCAAAACGCAGGAAGGAGGTGGTGTATAAATCATAGGACTACCAAGCGATTTTTTCGCCATCTACTTCTTTGCTCAACTTTGACTGTCAAAAGTGCTTCACCTCACTTGTCTGTTTCTAGCTGAAAGATGTGTGTGCATAATTACTCAAGTTTTGAGGCTACATAATCTGCTAGTAGCCTGCATTTCACCTGTACATACATCAGCACTATCCTCAAGTAGCAAATTCACCTTCCATCCATTTTCAAAGCACATGCTTCCAAGTAGAGGAAAAGTAGAGGAACGTGATTAAGAGTATAGGCTACTCAGAATATTACTTATGGTGTCATGGAGTTGTCACAGACATGTATCTGTTTTTCGCGTTCATTGTCTAGTACAATTTCCTGGTCTTCTTTCATTTCGCCGCAATGTGCTCTGCGGATAGAGTTATGAGCGCATTACCAGGAGAGATATTGTGTTAGTTGTAGAAAGAGATATGTAGGTGAAATCACGTCGAGAACGTGTGTGGTAATAAATTGTGGGAGAATCTCTAGGAAATGAATGAATGGAGCAAACCACTTTGACGCATTACAGAAATGTCCTTTCATGATTTCATGTAAAATGCCTGTTGCTTCTTAACAGTCAGCTAGAACGACGATGCAGTTTGCTGTTACCAATCCCGCCGTCATTAAAAAAGTAAAGTGACTAAATGGACTGTGTTCTAAGCAAGTGTTTGGCACTAGAATCAGGAGTGGTTTGAATGAGCAAATGAAAGCTTATATAAGTGAATATTTGGTCGATTGCATGGATATAGAAAGTGCGATCAGAAAGTAACTGATTGCACAATTCTGTGGGATTTCTCTTGGCTCCTATGCACGAAAATTCTGGAAATTTATCCAAATGATTTATTTTCAACCTCTCCTTTCGATTATTTTGTTTATTTTCTGCAAAAAACCTCTTCTATTTTGGAGCAGAACAATTATGCTCCTTCATCTTTACCGGAGAGGTTAAATTATTAACACTTCCCACCCAGGAGAGGAATATTGGCATGATTTTGTCCGTAATTAAGTCCGTTTCCTCTCGCTTTCGTTATATTTTATCTGTGAGAAATATTAGACAGCCACTAATTTGCCTTTTTCTTTCAACCTTATAAATTGCTACACTCTACTAACACTTATGCGTCTTTTTAATCCATTCGCGACTGCAAATGCACCAGCAGCAGCAACAGCAGTGCTGAACTACAGTCATTTACTCAACACCACTTAGCCACTTGACGAGCAGCTTTGTCACAACGTGTCCTGTGGCTAACAAGAAAACGTTGGTTTTCTTGCTTTCGTCCCCTTTGCGAAGGTGGTACGGTAGGCTAGACCAGACGTATGTCACCTCAATATCGCACCCTCATTTAAACCCTTCCTATCCACGGAAATGCGTCTTTATACTTAATCATTCGATTTTATTACAATAATATCAATTCGACTGAAAATTCATTTCAGCACTCTAAATGGATTACAGACGAGGTGAGGCCGATCGGGGCTGCTATTTACACAAAATCTAGTCTAGTGTTTTTCGTCCACTGCTTTACCTTACTTTCCACTTCCTTCCATTATCAAGCACCCTCAACTGGCTTTAACCTGGATAATCGTGTCGTTTTTACCTTCATTGGAGACGTCAAGTTATCAGCATCATGCTCCACGAAGAGGGATGCTCTTTGCCAAGCGCAGAGTGCAGGAGATTAATGGCATACTTACGGCATCCGTCTTAGTAGGAACTATTGAGAAATAGCTTCTAATTACTGTTGTTCGTACCTTGCACTCGAGGCACTGCAGTAACTTTGTGCCTCATTTCAATCAAGCTGCAACAATGAAAGCAGCAGCAGCAGCAGCATCAGAGGCCATATCAAAATGCATATATTTTCTTAGCATCATTTACTCCTTCCAGGAGAAGCAGCTTGGATACCAATACGCCCTTGGTTTAAAGCAGCGCATTGATTTTCCCCCAGGTTCCCATTCGTTGAGGCAGTACGTTAGGCCAGGCTAGTCCAGTGCTACTTCAATGTCACATCCAAATTCAATCCCCTCCAGTTCATGCAAATCCATCTCCATACTCCGTTATTCAAGTCAATTCAGTTTCCACTTCTCTCTTTACTCGAAATGGACCAAATAGAATTACATTGGGATCAACCGGACTTTGGTGCATTGCACAGGTATTAGAGACTAACATGCACACGTAGAATCATTTGATGATTTCGAAGCGGAGAGGTAGAAACCGAATTTCTCCTACTTTGTGATTATGTCTAAATGGAATATTTTCCGTCAATATCTTTCCACACATAATTTGGCATGACGCACCGTACATTAAATATAAAAAGAGTACTGTGATATGTTCGCCACATTTTTCTCCCACCTTCGGTTTCAAGACCTTCTCTTGGGGAATGATGACATTTAAGTAGTCAAGAGCCTGGCGTAATCTGATCGTCTGTCACCTAAAAGGTGGATTTACTCAGACATGTACCACACTCACCATGTATTTAATGTGGATTTACTCAGGTAAAAGCAGTATTTCAATGTAAAATGTTAAGTTCTAGCATTTCGTGTCCCTGCTGAAATCACACTGAGCCAAAGTAGTATGCAAGGACAGAATACTGTGTCAAGAAGGGCTATTAACCCATCAGGATGTCCCGAAACCCGTGCCACAGAGTGAAATAACAGG